ACGATCCCCGATTACAACTACATTTCACTTTTCTTTTCTCACCCCTCTTAACTGGCTCTCCTGTACCATGGAGCTATGGTCAGTTTGCTTATCAGCCCCACAGCCCCCGCTCTCATGCATTTATACAGTTCATGTAAGGCAATATGCTTTTCATAAAAGAACAATTTCTCAATTCCAAAGAGTCCAGGAAATTTTGAATTCTAAATGCAAAAGATGATAATACATGCTTTGATATTAATTGTCTGAAAAGTTTGTTTTATTTATCTCTATGCCCACTGGGACGCGCGCACACATACACACATACACACTCCATCCTGTAATAGAGCTAAGCTCAAGTTCTATCCATAGACATTACAGTACATGACAAAATCAGAAGCATGCTTTTTTTTCACCCCCACAAGTACAAAAGACCTTAATTTGATCTTTAGGTAGTTATAGCACAAACAAGAGGAGGCAATAGCCGAGTGGTATTATTGCTCAGCTATTAATCCAGAAATTCAGCTAATGTTCTGGGAACCCAGGTTCAAATATCCTCACAGCAGATGGAATTTGAAGTCAATTCTGAAAAAAAAAATTCAGAATTACGAATCTTCTGTGACCATGAAACCATTGTCACATGTTGGAAAAAACCCATTTGGCTCAGTAATGGTCTTCAGGGAAGGAAATCTGCCATCTTCAACTCGTTTGTTGGGTGTCTTGTCTCACTACACATGGACAACGAGGGACACGCATTCGACTGGGACAACACATCCATAATCGCACAAGCCAAACAGAGACACGCCAGGGAACTCCTGGAGGCCTGGTATTCTAAGCGGAACTCCATCAAACACATTGAACTGGACCAGGTATACAAATCACTGAGAAACAGAACTGGAAGTGGTACCAAACACCGCAACAAATTGAGGCATGTAAATAACAAATGGGACAGAACACCAATGCTTCACTGGAGGTGCACTGACGATGTTACCTAGAAGGGTGGCGATACGTTTGCAACCAAACCCACCAGCTTGGCGAGCATGTCTACAACCTCAAGGAAACCTCCTGCTGAATACCACATACCGCCCTCCCTCAGCTGATGAATCAGTACTCCTCTATCTTGAAAAACACTTAGAGGCAGCACTGAGGATGGCAAAAACCAAAATGTAATCTGGGTGAGGGATTTCAATGTCCACCAAGAGTGGCTCGGCAGCAGACTGCTGGTGGGGACCTAAGACATACTTGTTAGATTGGGTCTGTGGCAAGTGGTGAGGAAACCAACAAGAGGGAAAAACACACTTGACCTCATCCTTACCGATCTACTGGATGCAGAAGCATTAGTCTATGACAGTATTGATAACAGTGACCACTGCACAGCCTGTGGAGGTGAAATCCCACCTTCATGCTGAGAATACCCTCTACTGCACTGTGTGGCACTACCACTGTGACAGACTTTGAACAGATCTATCAACTCCTCAAGACTGGGCATCCATGAGGCACTGTGGCCATCAACATAGCAGAATTGTATTCCAGCAAAATCTACAAACTGATGGGCTGGCATATCCCCCACTCAACCATTACCATCAAAGCCAAGGGATCAACCCTGTTCAACGTAGGGTACAGTAGGACATACCAGGAGCAGCACCAAGCGTACCTGAAGACGAGGTGTCAACTTAGTGGAGCTACCAAAACAGGACTACTTGCATGCCAAACAGCATAAGCAGCAAATGAAATGCAGAGCTAAGCAATCCCACAAGCAACAGATCAGACTTAAGCTCTGCAGTACAACCACACCCAGTCCTGAATGGATTAAACAGCTCACTGGAGGAGGCGGCTCCAAAATGATCCCTAACCTCAATGATGGAAGAGCCCAACACATCAGTGTAATAGATCAGGCTGAAGCACTCGCTGCAATCTTTGGCCAGAAATGACATGTGGATGATCCATCTCAACCTCCTCAACATAACAAATACCAGTTTACAGCCAATTTGATTTGTGATATCAAGAAATGGTCGGAGGCACTGGATACTGCAAAGGCTATGGGCCTGACAATATCACTTCTGACTTGTGCTTAGAACTTGCCACTCATCTAGACAAGCTCTTCCAGTGTAGTTACAACACTGGCATCTATCCTACAATGTGGAAAATTGCCCAGGTACATACTGTACATGAAAAGCAAGACAAGTCCAACCCGGCCAATTACCTCCCCATCAGTCCATTCTCGATCATCAGTAAAGTGATGGAAGGTGTCATCAGCATTGCTATCAAGCCGTATCAGCTCAGCAATAACCTGCTCACTGATGGCCAATTTGGATTCCACCAGGACCACTAGCTCCTGATCTCATTACAGCCTCGGTTCAAACGTGGACAAATAAACAGAATTTCAGAGGTCAGGCCTTTGATAGAACGTGGCATCAAGGTGGTTAAACAAAACTGGAATACATGTTTATCAGGGAAAAAAATCTCCACTTGCTATAGTCATATCTGGCACATTGGAAGATAGTTGGGGTTTTTGGAGGTCAATCAAGTCAGCTCCACAGCATCTCTGCAGGAGTTATTCAGGGTAGTGTCCTAGGACCAACCATCATCAGATGCTTCATCAATGACCTTCCCTCCATCATAATGTTTACTGATAATTGCACAATGTTCAGCACAATTCATGAATCCTCAGACACTGAAGTAGTACATGTTCAACTGCAACAAGAGCTGGACAATATCCAGGCTGGACTAACACTTGACAAAACATTTGTGTAACACAAATGCCAGGCAATGCCATCTGCAATAAGACATAATCTAACCACTGCCTCTTATCATTCAATGATGATACCATCACCGAGTGTCCAACTATCAACATCCTTGGGATTGCCATTTACCATTAACTCAACTGGACTCACCATATTAGCACAATGGGCCACCAGAAATGATGGAATACCTCCCACATGATTACAGCTCCAAGAACACTCAAAAAGCTTGACAGCATACAGGAGAAAGCAGCCACTTAATTCACATGACATCCACAAATATCCATTTCCTCCACCACTGACATTCAATAATGGAAATATGGACTACCTACAAGATGTACCGCAGAAATTAACCAAAAGAACCTGAGGCAGAACCTTCCAAACCCATTAACACTTCCATCTTGAAGGACAAGGGCAGCAGAAACATAGAAACACCACCACCTGCAAGTTCCCCTCCAAATCACTCACGATCATGACTTGGAAATATATTGCCATTCCTTCACTGTCACTGGGTCAAAATCCCACCCCCCTCCCACTTCCGCACCCCACCCCACACCGCCTCCCCCACCCCCCCAACTGCCAGAACAATACGTGCGGATCTAGATTAATAATCTACAGTGATAATACCAAGACCATTGCCTCCCCAAATATAAACTCGCAGATGTTGCTGTGGCATAATTATACGCCCACATTTCAATGACATGCATAAAGTTCCAATGATAAAACACTTCGAGCTAGGATTATGCAATTGTAATGCTGCTGAGCCATTATTATAATGGCAAAACCAACAGCAATTTCTGGTGTCTGAACATGTAAAGTTAAATTTGGAAATCAAAAAAGTTACTGACAATGATATCCAGCTCTTCCACTGGTTTTGTTCAAAACCCAACAGATTACCATCAATATAACTCACCGAACTGTTGAGAACTTGTCTTTTTAGGCGAAATATGCTTGCAAAACCTCCACAAAATGATTGCATGTTGCTAATAAAGCAAGACTGCATTTTCACCAGCATACACAAGTTATGATGAAGACTGAACAATTGTAATGGCCCTGAAAAACTCATATTCTATGTGTAGTGTCAGATCTTTCCATTGTGACAAAAATTCCATCTCTAATACAGTCACTTTTTAAGCTCATTCATGATATTCAGACTTTTAATGTGTACATCCCAATTTATTCATAAATTTTGCGAAAAGCAAAACAGCAAGAAAAAGAAAGCACATTATACTCCTGGCTTGCCCTCTGTGTGAATTCTTCAGTGAGATTGGTTACTTTCCCTATTTGATGGGATCACATGTTGGAGATTCCCGTGCCCCAGATCAGATTGAAATTCACATTTGGAAATTAGAATTTCATGCTACAGAGATTGATAGATGTTTGTGGGCAGCTTTCCTGGAGGCCAGTGCTGAGCAACATCATTTCGCCAATGACAACAAAAATGTAGCCACAAAGTAACTTCAGTTAACAGGCAGAAAATACAACAGTATGCCCTATCTTCTGGCAGTTCAGGATACGTGGAATTAAAAAATGCAAACTACAAAACACTTGAAAAATAGCGAACTGGAAGCAAAAATCCTTGCTGGACAACGTTGTACACTTTTCCTTCGTCAGCAAGATTTAGAATATTGCTGCACGTGAAACGAGACATAATGTTGAAGCTTTTGTTTTGCACTCATCAGGACAGAACCGAAATTTAGTCTCCTTGCAAAGGGAAGAAGTTATTGATGTTCTTGTGTTTTTGTTTCCATGAGCACAAGACAAGCAGATTGGAGGTCATGTCTCTTTTTTCAGCAAAACTCTCATCCTGTACCACCAAGCAACCAGTAATATTTTAAAATCACTGAAATGCTTTTTCCAAAGCAACTTCAAAAATATCTTTTAATAACACAATACTTTCACAGGGCTGCTAGGATAAAAAAAAAAAATCAAATCATGGGATGAAGGCATCACTGGCTAGGCCAGTATTTGTTGCTTAGAGGGCAGTTAAGAGTAAGCAACATTGATTCATCTTCCAGGGTTCTCTACCCCAATAAAGTCAAATGTCCTACATCCATTAGGCACCTGATTCTCACTTGGCTATTTGATCTTGGTGATAACTACCTGGATTCTCAAAGATTGTGTAAGGCATGCCCTTGAAGGACCAGGCAATCTAAGCAGATAAATGTCAAGTATGATCCAGACTCCAGCCTCCTGATGAACAATGCCATAGGCATTAAAAAGTAAAATACAGTGCTGTGTATTCTCATCATCACAAATCCAAAATGATAAACATTTGCTTACCTGCCATTTCTTTCAAAGCCAAACTTGATTCCTTCTTTCTGGAAAGGAAGTAATCTCCGATTAAGTTTTTCGGGCAGTGTCGAAAGCAGAATGTCAAATTCGTCTGCTGAGCATTTGTTCTCAGCAAATAAAGATGGAGGACATTGCTGGAGCTGCTGGGATTTTTTCATGATTTCTTCAACTGCGTTTTTTAAATAATAGAATGTAGGTTAAGCCCTGTGATTAATATTTTGTTAAAAATACTTAGCACATAATACTAACACTTTTTATCCCAAACACTGCAGGAACTGCTTCATTTTGACGTACAATAAACCAAAACAAACAACAAGTTCTAGAAAGGAAATTCGTATATTCGCACGGCCATACCGTAACTTCAAATCCACAACTAATTACAACACTGGTTTTATCATAATCTGACTTTTAATATGTTCTGTCTGGTGAGAAGGGCGGAGGGTGGGAGAGAAGATGGACAGGCTGCGTCTAGTCAAGGAGGCGGGGATGAGAGGGAGGCTTGGACATGGGATGAGGCTGGGAATGGGGAAATTTTAAAGACCGATGGCCTTAACATGGAATTCAACAATTTTTAAATCTCCCCAGCCCCAGCCTCATCCCATGTCCAAGCCTCCCTCTCATCCCCGCCTCCTTGACCTGACAACTGTCCATCTTCTCTCCTACCTATCCACTCTGCCCACCTCACCAATCAATCCCCACCACTCCCTACCTGCACTCACCTACCACCATCCCAACCACCTTCCATAGCCCCATCACTGCTCTCTATTTATTTCCGAGCTCCATTCCCTCCCCATTTCTGAAGGAGGGTCCCGACCTAAAACATCAACTTTTCCTGTTCCTCTGCTGCCTGGCCTGCTGTGTTATCTCGAGTGTTCAGCACTTTTGTGCATGTATAGACCAAGATTGCTGTGAAGTCCAGAGCTAAGTGATCTTGTCAGAACCCAAACTGAGCAATGAGCACATGACTGTTGATAAATGTCACTTGGTAGTGCTGTCAATGACTCATTCTGTCACTTATTTGATGATCAAGAGTAGACTTATGAAGCGGAACGAGGAATTTGCTGCAGTATGACCCTGCTGAAGAGTCATCTAGGTCAAAACATTAGCTTGCTCTCTCTTCACAGATGCTGTCTGACCTGCTGTGATCCCCATTTTGTTGTTTTCTTATAAAGTGGAAATTGGCTGGGTTGGAATGCAACTGCTTTTTGTGGACAACACCCAGGTGCAAGTTTCCACATTATCAGTTGATACCAATGTTGTAGCTGTACTACGGGCATGGCTACGTGTGGAGCAGATCTGCAGTACAATAGTGGACATAGAATCATATCATAGAATCCCTGCAGTGTGGAAACAGGCCCTTCAGCCCAACAAATCCACACCGACCCTCAGTGCATCCCACCCAGACCCCATCCCCTATAACCCACCTAATCTACACATCCCTGAACACTACGGGCAATTTAGCATGGCCAATCCACCTAGCCTGCACATCTTTGGACTGTGGGAGGAAACTGGAGCACCCGGAGGAAACCCACGCAGATATGGGGAGAATGTGCAAACTCCACATAGACAGTCATCCGAGGGCGGAATTGAACCCGGGTTCCTGGTGTTGAGGCAGCAGAGCTAACCACTGAGCCACTGAGCCACCAAGCCATCGTGCCTGACATGTCGTCAGGACCATAAGCCTTCATAGTAACCAATGCCTTCAGCCATTTCATGAAATCACATGGAACTAATCAAAGACTAGCATCTGTGATGATGGAGACTTAAGGATGCAGAGATGCATCATCCACTCAGTACTACTGGCTGAAAATTCTGGTCAATGCTTCAGCCCAGTATTTCATGCTGAAACGCTGGATTCCAAACACCATACTCGAGGATGGGGATATTTAGGGAACCTTCTCTTCCAGTTACTTCTTTAATTGTCTACCATTGTTCACGACTGGATGTTGGAGGACTACAGAAATTAGATCCCCTTCATTGGATGTGGAATCATTTAGCCCCATTTATCACTTACAGCTTGGCAAGTAGGTAGTTCAGTGAGTAGCTTCATCTGGTATGACCCAATTTTCTGGTATGTCTGGTGCCACTTCTGGCTGGTCCACTTCCACTCTTTATGGAGTCAGAATTGATTGCTGGATTCATCGTAACGATAGATCAGGTATGTGCCGTGTCATGAGGTTATAAATTGAGGTGGAATATAATTACTGGGGAGGTGACGGCCTAGTGGTATTATTGCTAGACTATTAATCTAGAGACCCCAGTAATTTTCTGGGCACCTGGGTTCGAATCCTGCCATGGAAGATGGTGGAATTTAAATTCAATACATATCCAGAATTAAGAGTCTAATGATGAACATGAAACAATTGTTGATCAGGAAAAACCCATTTGGTTCACTAATGTCTTTTAGGGAAGGAGACCACCATCCTTACCTACATATGACTCTATTCCTACAGCAATGTGGTTGACACTTAATTGCAATTACGGATGGGTAACAAATGCTGGCCTGGTCAATGCTGCCCACATCTTGTGAATGAATAAACAAAGAACTCTGTTGTTGCTGATGGTATGCAGCACGTCATGGATGCTCAGTTGAGTAGCTAGGCCTGTTGAATATCTATCCCATTTACCATGGTAGTAGTGCCACACAAAACGACGGAAAACATCCTCAAAGCGAAGACAGCACTCGGTCACCAAAAATACTACGTGGTAGCCACTCTTATCGATATTGTCATGGAAAGATCCATCTTGAAAGATGGATTTGTAAAAATGAATTCAAGCAGATTTTTCCCTTTTCTTGACTCCGTTTCAACCTACAACAGACCCTGTTCAGCAGCTCTGGCCTTTACGGCTCAGCCAGTTCAGTCGGCAGTTGCTAATGAGCCATTCTTGGTGATGAACACTGAAGCCCCCACGCAAGTTTGGCTCATTTATGTCACATGACTGCCAGGCAACAAACATCTCTGACAAGAAAAAAAATCTAACTATCTCTCAAACTCAATGGCATTTCCATAATCAAATACCATACTATCAATAACCTGGAATTTTCTGTGGACCAGAGACTCAAATGCACCATCCATGTAAATGCTATGGCTATAAAGGCAGATCAGTGGCTAGGAATTCCAAGCAGAGTAACTCAACTCTTGACTTCAAAAATCTGCCCATCATCTGAAGGCACAAGTGTGATGGAACATATGACATAACAAGGTGTAGAACTGGATGAACACAGCAGGCCAAGCAGCATCAGAGGAGCAGGAAAGCTGACATTTCAGGCCTAGACCCTTCTTCAGAAATGA